ACACATTAATTTTATGTGTCGGTGGCTGGCTAAGTGTTAAGTCGAAACTGATTACAGTGCTCCCATGCTATTTGTTGTTAAGCCCAAAGCTTCTTTTCATTAGCAGACTTTCACATTATCAGGACAAGCATGTGTGTGTGAGTGAGAGTGTGTGTGAGTGAGAGTGTGTGTGAGTGTGAGTGTGTGTGAGTGAGAGTGTGTGTGAGTGAGAGTGTGTGTGAGTGTGAGTGTGTGGACTGCGTAACTTACGATGGTGTCCACAAACACGAAAGCCAGAATGGCAGCCACAAACTCCAGAATGATGATAACCACCAATGCTATAATGTACTGTGAGTGGAGGAAGAAGATAGAGTGAAAGTAACGCATGGCTGATCGAAAGTTTTTACTATCTGGTATGTTACGTTTGACCTCAACAGATGGTGCTCAACACAGGGGGAAGGATAGGGAAGAAGGATTAAGGGAGGAAGAGGAATTAAGGTAAGGTGAATAAATAGAGAAATCCAAGAGCTAGCTGCCCATCATTTCGGGCCCACCTCTGCGCTCTCAGAAAATGGGTCTCGTTAGCCTCCTTGATTACCCCCAACCTACCCTCCATTATCGGTTGGGAAAGAGAGAGAGAGAGAGAGAGGGAGAAATGGAAAGTGTGTGTTAGCTTTTGGATAGAAAAAGAGGAGAAAGGATAAGAGGGAGTGAGGGAGGTGAGAGGAGAGAGAGGGAGAGTGACTTACAATAGAAGAAGAGGCCTCCACATGGCACAAGCCCCGATGATTCCAATCGACGCCACGACCATCGTGATGATCCCTCCGACGAGCAGCAGGGCAGCAAACGACACGGTCTCGCTGCCCGTGATGACATCATAGTCAGTCCCAACCACGACACCCCACACTCCAATGCTAAAGGCAACGGCTCCAAGAACCTGACAGACAATGAGTTGAATATCAAAGGTGCAATTTCAAAGGTGCTTAAATTGCTAAAATGTGGACAGTACTATAGTTGGCAAATAGAAAACCTAACGCTATTATCAAAATGTAAACATATATTATGGCGAACTCCCCGGATGTGTTTGCAAGACACCTGCGTTTACAGTTTCGATGATTGCAGGATACCGTATTTCCTCGAATAAACGCCGCACTTCGAATAGTAGCCGCCCTCGAATAGCCGCGGCTACTGATCGAGGAAATACGGTACCTGCGTTACAGTTTCGATGAAAAATATTGTATCTATTATTTTCCGTATGCTTACTTGAGTCGGTACATCAAGGCACAGATGCATTCCTATAACTACTATACAAAGTGGTCGAGTACAAATCGTGGCATACGGGTACCATAGGGGAAATACTTGGGTCTATAAAACTAACCGGAGGGACCTTCCGCTGCTGACGGACTACCCATATCTATTCGCTAGTCAATACTGGACTGGCCAGCTCTATCAGGACAAGAGCTATATAGCGTCGCCACACACACGGACGGTGCGCGATCGGCACCTATGGACTCCGCCGGAAAAAAATCTTGCGCTCAAGCAAACGCGCTCACATATACCCACACGGCGAAAACGAAACAAAAACGGCGTGCATATAGCGGCCACTGATTTCTGCACTCTCACCAGAAAAATGAAGTTGCAGACGACGAACGCCCATCTGATGCACTTTGTTCCCGTTCCGTACGGCGACGATCCCATGATCTTTCTCCTTTTACTTGCGTTCAACTATATACACGAAATAACTCGCACACACTCGGCTATTATCCGACACTCCTAAGCAATGTCGCAACCTCACTTTTACCGCAGTTTTATGACGGTATATTGGCGATTACGCATGCGCATACACGTAATATTACGGTTTGTGACGTCACCGTCGCCAGGCGCGCTCCCGCCATTCATCAAAGCATCCACACAACAACAGTGCACACAAACTCGTATAAATATGGAAGACGACCAAAAAACCTGCACACACAACACACACACAAGTGTTCAACTAGTCCAATTTTCCCACTCTTCTCCCCCCCTCCTCGTCCTCCCTCTCACACCCTCCCTCTCCTCCCTCGAGCCTGCCCACTCCACACTCCTGTCGAAACCCCAAAGAAGGCAAAGATGAAGCGGCGCTAAGTGGTCCTCCCACTACACAAACAACTTCTCTTTCCTGCGTTTGTACCGGAACACCAGACTCTTTCTCTACTGTCAACTGTACGCCTCTCTCTGTTACACGCGTGTGTCCATGTTCTTTAGAACAAGCAGTTTGAATAGGTCCTCTGTTAGCCAGTTGTTCTCTTGACATCTCGGTAGCTTTCACTTCAATGGCACTGCTTGTGTCGCTGGCTGAAGAGGTGTGCGGACAAGCGGAACTATCGGGTTGTCCTCGAAACAGGCCCTCAGATGTAGAAAGACCCTTCTGTGCAGTATCCCCAGCGTTTCCATCAATGGTGCTTGTTAGGGCCGGAGAGTGCGCGCAATCAGAACTATCACATTGTTGTTGCAACTGGGCTTGCAAGGAACTATCACACTGTTGTTGCTGTACGGCTGATGACATAGCCACAGTAGTTGAGAGTTCCTGACGCAGAGTTTCGTGTTCAGAGCGTTGCCTTATTCTAGAGCCGCCAAGGTTGGGGTTATGATCCAACTGCTCTGTTCCAACCACGGTGGTGCAGGGCGATGAAGAAGGGTGTTCTGGACGCACGGAACCACGTTCTGAACTAGGACGAGGTCGTCCGATTCTGAGACTGTCGGGATTGGTACCGGAATCTGAGCCTTTCGAGACTTCGATGCAGTGTTGATCCGAGGGTGACAGCGGGTGCGATTTGACAAGGTTTCCGTTTGCTGGTTCGGGGGAAAAGACGGAATTTTCAGAGTCGGTCACGTCGGGACTCGATGGTAACCCACTGTACGAGCCGACATCTGCGTCCAGACTAGTGGTTGTTGCCATGGACATGGCTCCAGATGTCGTAGATTTTCCCGCGGAGCGACTTTTAGAGAAAGTAATCTCTGTGATTTCGTCAGCATCCCACGATAGAATCGATTCTCTTTTTCCCTCCACCTCCTTTCCAGCTCCTTCTTCACCCTTCTCTCCCTTCTCCTCTCTCGCACACTCTATTCCTTCTACCCCTTCCCCCTCCCCTCCCTCCCTCTCATACGCCGGTTCCCCCATTCCCAAACCCCCAGACGCCGGTTCCAAAGGAAATTTTGGCCTCTCTTCAGTAATGGGAGAGAGCGTTGAGAAACTTTCCTCAAACTTGGCACGGTGAGGTTCCTGGATCGTGAGCGCCGACAGAGCCTGTATCACATCTTCTGGTCTAATGCCCAGTCTTATCCATCCCTCCAGTCCTTCCTGCAGTACATTGAACAGTGTGTATATACGTGTGTAATCAAATCACTTACACATTAGCTTGTCCTTCCTGTGGTATACTGAACGGTATAAACTACTACAGCTATAAGGCCACATTGGCTTCTATGTCTTACCAAGTTCAAGAACCCTACGTATGTGTGTAATATGGCTAGCTTTAGTAGTGATAGGATGAAAACTTAGTAAAGGACCCTCTGAATAAAGGACGCTTCTCTATAAAGGACACTTGGTTCTGCCCCATACTAATACATTAATAGTGACACCTCTGAATAAAGGACACCTCTCTATAAAGGACACTGTGGTTCTGCCCAATACTGTGTATTTTGATACCTCTGAATAAGGGACACCTCCGAATAAAGAACGCTTTCGATGTTCCCAAAGTGTCCCTCATTCAGAGGATCGGTGTACACTTGTAACAAACCTGAGGCGTGGTAGACGGAACGGTACAAGGGTTAGACAGCTCTCGGACATTCTGCTTCACTCCTCCCCCCTCCCCCTCCTCCCCCTCTCCCCCCTTCACCGCCACGTCGGATGCCGACGCCGACAGAATCTCCTGCGAAGAGGTCAACGGCGACAGAGAGTTCGTCGCCATGGAGACGGTTGCCGTGGGGATGAGGGAGGAGAGAGCGGCGATAAGATCTGAGGCGGAAATCGGACGACAGGGCTGGTACTCCAAACTCGTCTCTAGAGGGGTGGAGGGAGGTGGGGACATTAGGGGCGTTGCCGTGGCGCTGGCAGAGGAATTCTGACGACTTATCCACGCGGTGAGTGCAGAGGTCACGGCTTCGGGGAGGACTGGTGTCGTCACGGCAACCCCTCCCCCGGTCGTCGGCTCGTTAGGGGTTAAAGATAGAGGTCGTTGCTTGTCCTCGATTTGCTGGAGAGCTTCGAGTGCAGCTCGTATCATTGAGGGAGATGCCTAGTGAATTGAGATACAGTTTTTACGGCTGTATGTTCAATATTTTACACATGACAAAGAATTCACAAAAATTGTGCATTTCAGACGACTATACGCGACATGAGACTTGTGTTGTTGAGATTTCTTAACCTTTTGGACGAGCGAAGTGAGCCTTGCCCAGCTGTCTGTATGTGGGATTTTACATGTTCATAATGTAACGTCGGGCACTGCACGTACCGTAATGTTGTACGTGATTCTAAATAAGCGCAAAACACGCAAGAAATATTGAACTGCTCGCGCTCGCTCGACAACAATGTAATCCTTCTAGTATTTCACTTTTAACCTGTGGTTTTGGATGGTGAGTTCCGTTGATGGTGAGTGGTGTGGGTGGAGGCGTGGTGATAGAGAGAGAGGGAGGATCGCTGGCCCCTGCAGGTAGGGGAGGAAAGAGAAGTGGGGAGAAGTTTATAAAGAGAGATATATACACCGACGTAAAATTGAAAATTGCAGAAATAACCTATAAAGCATCTTGCTAATTCAGAAAATGATGCTTCCCTTCAAAACAAATTTAATGGTAGAGTGGATTTCCTAGAGTATCTCTTCATTTTGATCGTCATACAAGGAAACACATTTAATGTGTAACCGTCACTTGCACAAGAGAGTGTAAACACTATGAGACATTGGACGTGCGCAAGAAAGAATGTACGTATGTGACATTGGAAACCGGTTTTGCTTACTGGCTTAACTCCCACGAAATGGAGTTGGTGTACATTTGAATTCCAAGGGTATTGTATCATGGCCGCCACGCCCAAGACACACTAGCCAATCCCCCACGTAACTAATAGGGCCTCAATGGCTTTAATGTCTTACCAAGGTCATATTACTGTACCGATGTGTAGCATACAGCTATTTATGATGTAACGTAATCTTATTGTGCTAGCTGATGTACATGTGTATGGATTTCAAATGCCAGTTTAGTACAACCTCTGAATAAAGGACACCTCTCTATAAAGGACACTTGGTTCTCCTCCATACTAATACATTAGTGACACCTCTGAATAAAGGACACCTCTCTATAAGGGACACTTGGTTCTATGTCCATGAGCCAACTTAGTTGCTCCAACAAAGGTTGCGAAACCTTCGAAGTATTGGGGTACGATGGGTCCAGCAAACGAAATGCCTGGAAATGGATTGGTTGTCTATTTATGGCAACTTGTGTCATCATACCAATACTTTGGAAGTTGCTGCGATACTTGTTGAAGCAACAAATGAAAGTTATCTTGTGTGTGTAGGGGTTAAATCAGCATTCCTACGGGTCATATATGTGTAGTACTACTGTATGTATGTGTGTATGTAATGGAGTAGTACCTTGTGACGGTGTGTGTATGGGTTACAGCAGATAAGGTTTCAAATTCCTGGCTGGGTCGGTCATATCGGGTGACTTTTGACGAAATGTAACATTGGAGAGATGGTTTTGGGCGTGCTATTGTTACCGTGGGAACACACTTTAGCCCATAGAAAATAGTGTTAGTTTTGGCAAGCGAGGGTTGTTCCCTCCTTCCCTCCCTCCCCTCCCTCCCTCCCTCTCCTCCCTCCCTCCCCTCCCTCCCTCCCTCACTCACCAGTTACAGTATGCCGTAATCCAGAAGGCTGGCGTAACTTCGCTATTTTCCGATTGCCCGTCCGGTTCGTCCCTAACCAACGCCGACAGAGGCTCGTCTCTCATCGAAAGAGACGCGGTGAATTCAGAGTGGGACAGACTCCCGATCGCATATCTCTCTTCAGCAGTTTCATCAGGGAACATATTTTTACCCTGAGCGGGAAAAGAAGAGGCTGTGTACAGTTTATGCAGTATTTAGAGCTGGGTAATTTAAATCGCACAATCTGATTGGTTGATGCGAGGACCTCTAAAATGGAACAGATTTTCCGCTTAGCTTCCTCCACCCTCTCTCTCTCTCTTTTAACCCTTTGGACACCATGGGTATCTCCTTAAATAAACAGAAATTGAAGTTTAAAGTGTTAGCTCCTAGTATTATGACCCCATATAAATTCTTATGGACTTATGGAGGCTCACGGCACATTCACGCATCCGTGGCTGGTTAAGTGTTAACCTGATGAAGTTGAGAGGCCAACAGACTCGGTGATATCAGCGACTGTGCCACCACGGAAGATTCCACAGACGAAGTCAGCCCGCCATCACAACCTCCCCAATCCCTACCAGTAGTAGTACTAGGCAGAGAGGAGGTACGACACGATGATGATGATGGTGGTGGTTTTTCGACCCTGTCTCTACTCAGTCGTGATATGGGGGACCCTCTATAGTCGCCTGGGGCATGGATCTAGTGGTGAGAAAGAGAGAAATTATTGATTTTGTTCGTTTTGTATTTTGTTACACGCCATATTGAAATTGTGGCCCACTCTTACAGCGTGCTCCAATTGGAAAATACACTACAGAGTGTGCTTCAATTAGAACACACTATGGTGTACTCCAATTGGAGTACAGTGCAGTGCTGTGGAGAAAAAAGGGGAGGGAAAATAGTATAATACACATCATAAACTATTCATATTTACGTAACTACTTTGTCGTAGGTACTACAGTATACCTGCCAAGATATTTCCATATTTGGGCAACTTGTATCACTAGAATCGTCAGTATTAGACATCATGTTCGACCTTTGACCTCTGGCATCTGTAAAGATTTGAACACCTTTCGCTTGCGGTAACCATTAGAAACGACCTTTCGTATGTACCTGATAGTGGGCGTGGTCTCGATTCAGCGAAGGGATCCGATTCGTCATCGGCTCCGGCATCGCCGCTGCTGCTGTTGCTATGGGAACTGCTGTCTGGTTGTCTAATGACCGATTGAACCAGGGGCCACTCGTCAGGGTCGTCGCCATAGCGATTTTTGTACGAAGTAATCTTTGACTGAGCAACAATTAAAAACCAAGTTTACTGATGCAATTTTTCCTGCATTATACATATATTTCGCTGCATCCTTCGCAGACCTGAATTCTATATAACGTAGCTAACCTGTTCTCGTTCAGAAATGGCTTCACCATCAAGTTGGATCTACAACGTACAAAACAGTAGTCTGCATTTTTATTTTTGGACGTACAAAATAATTGACCCTCCCAATTAATAATGCCATACTATATACCATTACTTGCAATAAAATAGTTGACCATTGAAAAGATCGCCACCATTATTATAATACTAACGTCTCTGGACTTGTGAAGAAACTGCGCCAGCAGCAGAAGTCTCGAACTTTGTGAACTGCTGATTGGATTACCTGCATGGAATAGAGATCATGTGACTGTCACATGACCAACTATGACATCATCATTACCGATTACTATTGTCATCATTTTTAGCACCACACATCATGAAAATTATACACAAACCCATCGAGACTCAAAAAATATTTACGTACATCCTCTAAGAAATACCGTCGAAATTTTGAAGATTCACCTGAAAATTTTATACTGTGGTAATGATTTTATACCTTGAAGACAAAGGGTGTTTAACTGTCGGAGTTTCATGATTCGATGAAGATCCTTTTTGGACCCGACCAGGTTGTAGTTCAGGTTTAGTGCCGTTACGGAGACAAACGCCGACAGCCCGTCGAGCGAGTGTAACCTGTTATGAGACAGGTTCAACGAGGTCACCGTCTCCAGGACCTGAGCGTGTGGAGGGAGGGGGAGAGGTTTGGACCAATCAGATCACCCGATTCGAAATTTGAAATGTCGCTAAACACTCTAGGGAGCGAGATACTAGGGGAGGAGGAGATTAAAGTTTGGAGCAAGATAGACCTGATTCGAAAAAGTAACAAGCACAAGAAGAAGTACATATGTAGATAGAGGAAAAAGGTGCTATAGACTAAGTGGAAGGGGCTAAATCAGCCAAGATAAAAAAATGTTCAGGACCGTAAAATGTTTGCTCCATCCTACTATATATACGTATGTAAGTTCTAACATTCATGTGTAGATCATAATTATACATTTTTTCCATCGATGATTCTCTTGATGGCATTATGGGCGAGGTTGAGTTTCTGCAGTGAAGGTAGGCAGAGGAATTGGACCTCCAGCAGCTGAATGGTGTTGTGACTGAGATTTAGCTGTGGGGAGAGGGGGAGGGGGAGGGAAGGAGGGAGGAAGGGAGGGAGGAAGGAGGGAGGAAGACAAACTGAGAGAGGAAGGAAGCATAATAGCAACTAACACCTCATACACACACACACACACACATGTGACCTGACAGTAAACATTATCACATGACAGGTCACAGCACCGAGCTTGTATAGTTCAGATAGAGCTTCTTTCTTAGTTCAGGTCTTGGATAATCACATGGTCATAGTATGGGGAAAGGCACTGTCATCATACTATTGTTGCCTTGCTAGCTAAGCATGTATATATACACAGCTATAGTGTCCTGTAATTCGCCCTGTGCCAGGTGCATATACTCACGAGAACAGTATGAATGTGTGGAAATACAACATTAAGTGTAGTCATAATGGGAATGAACTCTGCAAGGGAAATGCTGTTGTGTGGGTGTGGCTTTTCCGCTATTTTTGTCTACTTCACTTTTGCACTAAAATATGATTTTTGTCTACTTCACTAACCTCAGTATATACTTAACTGAGGATACCTGCTTTTATGCATCAGTCAGTCGCTTTGGCATAAAAATTCACGTCCTCACTTTGGTATATTTCATCACGGTTGTTGCTAATAGTAATGTCAACCAATTACAGTATTCACAGTTCATGCCTGAGCCCGGCGACCCATTGCCTGGCTACGAGTTCCAAGGCAGAGCCATCCAGTTTGCCTGAAGGCATGCAGAGAATTCGACACCGACAGTAAACTGGGCATCACTACTACCACTTCTTTCACCTCTACCAGGGCTTCTGTGGGATGAACACGGTCCCGAATTCCCTATTAAGATTCCGAACCCCGCCCTTTCTCCCTCCTTCCCTTCTCTCTTCCAGTGAAAGATTTATTTTAAGGCTGCTATGAAATTTGGGCAGGGCACGATTTATGCTGGGTTCACAGTAGTTGCTTACCACGTCGCGTCTTGCCGCTTTGCTGCGTCGCGAGGATAGAATCCATTTCCGTCCTCGCGGCAACGGCGCGACGTGGCAATGCGACATATTGTGAACCTAGCCTTATTCCTACGGGTGTAGATGACGTGTTTGCCTTGCCTTGCCTTGCCTTTCTACCTCGCTACCAAGTTGTTGAGACATATAAATACGTTGAACAGAGCATATTAACAATAGTGCTCTTAATGGTACAAATGCTCTTAAACGTGTGAAAATGCACAAATAAGTGTGTATACATACTATACCTCTTCAAGGGCGATATCATACACTTCCCTAAGGACTGGTATATACGTACCTCTCTAAGGACTGGTATATATATATATACGTACCTCTCTAAGGACTGGTATATATATATATACGTACCTCTCTAAAGACTGGTATATATGTACGTACCTCTCCAAGGACTGGTATATACGTACCTCTCTAAGGACTGGTATATATGTACGTACCTCTCTAAGGACTGGTATATATACGTACCTCTCTAAGGACTGGTATATACGTACCTCTCTAAGGACTGGTATATATATACGTACCTCTCTAAGGACAGGTAGCACTTGCAAGGAGTCGTCCAAGTGGGTGACCTTATTGTGGGAGAGATTCAGTATCTGTAGAGAGTGCCATGGCTGGACCACCATCCTTTCAGGGAGAGAGAGGAAGACCAAAGTATGAAAGGAAAGGAAGGTATGAAGCACTTGGCACACAATCTCCTAGGTACCTTCCTTGTAACTGAATTTTAGTGACACTTAGGTTTAGAGTAATGCTATGTAAGTCCTCCACCATATTAAGAGCTCCGATGAAAGAGTGAGAAAGAATTAAAAAAAAAGAGAGAACAGTGTATTGTCAACAGTCTACTATAATCAAGAAAATGCACATGAAAAATTTTTTGTGAACTTTTTTTCTTTTTCTCTCCCTTAACCGTTCTACACATAATCCTTACACAAACATCGATCATTAAAACTGGAATCCGGACTAACCTGTTTTCGGTGAGTTTTGCCATGGCAGTGACCCGCCATTTTTCGACTCCAGACCCACTCCTTGGTCTCAGTATGGGACTACCTGTAGTCAGGTGAACTGATCAGGTTATCAAAATGGGAGAATTCGAGGTTTAACTGTACTATTAGTGTGTATGTATGTGAGTGAGTGAGAGTATACTGTGCCATAGCTAAGTGATTGAGGTTTGCCTTGTGTTGTGTTGTGTTGTGTGAGTTGCCGTGGTAGCTCAGTTGGTAGAGCGCTCGCCTAGACTGCAGAGTGTCGTGGGTTCGAATCCCACCCAGGGCAACTCTTCTTCTTTTCTTTGAAAAGAAAGAGCTGTCCTGGGTGTAGTTGACTTGTTTGCCTTGCCTTGCCTTTCTACCTCGCTACCAAGTTGTGTATGTATGTGTATATAAACCTCCACATCTTTTTTCCTCCACATTCTCAATGATTAGTTCCCTGATAGTTCTGACACATCTCAGAGCCGATAGTTTCGTTATCTGTTGTTGAATGGAGAGGAGACCTTTGACCTGCGACAATGGGACTCTGTCGATCTGAATGAGGGAGGGAGGGAGGGAGGGAGAGAGAGGGAGAGAGAGAGAAATGGTTCATGCAAGCCTTATGAATGGTAGTACAGCAAACTCTGCATGTTTAGCTATACTACACAAAAAATTTGAACACGCATCTACAAGATTTTCCTGCAAATTTAAGTACTAATAATTATTATGGACTTATGGAGGCTCTGGACGCATTATGTGGCTGGTTAAGTATTAAAGTTTAAAGCTACACCAACATATACCTTGAGAGTCGTGAGAGATCTGAAGTGAGAGAGGTCGAAGGGCATGCAGCAGACGGACACGGGAGGTGGAGGGAGACAGACCCGCAGTGAGTGGAGATGATGCAGGAAACTGTACAGGTTGGCCGGATCTGCCGCGGGGGTCTGACGTGTCTGGAGGAGAGAGAGAGAGGGAAGAGACTTGTGCTTGCTGTAAGTAGGAAAACTTTAGGTCGCCATATTGTAAACAAACTGTACAAGGTATTTTACTTGGTATATGCATTCACTTCTGAGGATTATTTCACTGCACACTCCAGCTATAGTCAAGGTATTCAGGATGGTTGGTTGGCCTGTCCTTCCCCCCACTTGCTTGCTAAAAGTACGAACAATTTAGGCCACCCTATTCTTTCACTGCACACTCCAGCTATAGTCAAGGTATTCAAGATGGTTGGTTGGCCTGTCCTTCCCCCCACTTGCTTGCTAAAAGTACGAGCAATTTAGGCCACCCTATTCTTCACTGCATACTCCAGCTATAGTCGAGGTATTCAGGATGGTTGGTTGGCCTGTCCTTCCCCCCACTTGCTTGCTAAAAGTACGAACAATTTAGGCCACCCTATTCTTTCACTGCACACTCCAGCTATAGTCAAGGTATATCAGGATGGTTGGTTGGCCTGTCCTTCCCCCCACTTGCTTGCTAAAAGTACGAACAATTTAGGCCACCCTATTCTTTCACTGCACACTCCCAGCTATAGTCAAGGTATTCAGAATGGTTAGTTGGCCTGTCCTACCCCCCACTTGCTTGCTAAAAGTACGAACAATTTAGGCCACCCTATTCTTTCACTGCACTCTCCAGCTATAGTCAATGTATTCAGGATGGTTGGTTGGTCTGTCCTTCCCCCCACTTGCTTGCTAAAAGTACGAAGGGCAGAACCTAGTATTTCTAAAATCATGTGACATCTCACCAACTCCCGAGGCGTCAAAAGGCAGCTTCAGCCGTTTGGTGATACTGAACATCTCGTTCACACTCAGGGCAACCGGCTTTGCTTGCATCAGCAACTCGTCTCCATGGCGATGGAGGTGTCTCGCCAGGAAGTCGGTGATCTTTACGATATCCTGAAAACGGAGAGAGTATACTAAGATTACTAAGAGCTAAATTTAGAAATTGCTACTGAAAACGGAAACTTATTGCATTCTTGCACTACCGGGCCCCCATTGCTTGGCTCTATTTTTAGTAACATTTCTAATTTTAGTCCTTATGTACTGTTACGTTCCCTTTGAAATTCAATTCTTAGGAACCTATTTCAACTTAGGAACCTATTTCAACTTAGAAGTATCAAGTATGAGAATGCTTGCTTACGTGAGAAGGCACATCGAGAAAGGTTTGGAGTTCAGTTGACTGGGATATCCTTGCTTCACTAGAGAAAGAGGAGAGAGAGAGAGAGAGAGAGAGAGAGGAGAGATTTTCTAAATTTTTCGACATGTATAACATACCGTACCTGTGAATAAGTCTGTGGAGATATGTTTCTAATTGGAGCCTCCTCTGGTCGATGAGCTGTTTACTGAGGTTTCCGTGGTAACGCTTGGGTGGCAACAGGTCGCGGTGGACAGCATGAAGCTTCATCAGCTGAGGAATTTTGACAAATACCGCATCATTTACAAAATTTAAGGTTGTGAGCCGTAAATATTTTGCAGGAAACATACTTTCTCTGCAATTTTTTTATTGTATGTACCTTTCTATGGAGAGTGTGGAATTCACTGTAACGTCTGTGGAGATACCACTGATTGTACTCCGTTACCACTTCGACTTTATACATCTGATGGAGAGAGGGGAGAGAGGGGAAAGAGGAGAGAAGGAGGAGGAGGAGGAGGAGGAAGAGGAGGAGGAGGAGGAGGAGAAGAAGAAGAAGAAGAAGAAGAAGAGGAAGAAGAAGAAGAAGAAGGAGGAGGAGAAGAGGGAGATAGAAAGGAAGATGAGTGACGGGGAAGGGATGATAATGCTAGAGCTGGCATGGATACGTAGGTTACCAACACGACTGGCTTGTACCATACATGCTTACATGGCACGATGATGTAGTATTCATGTACCACTATATGTATCCTTGTTTAACATTACAAGAAAACACATGTTTGCTCGTAACAATCTTCACCATTAGAAACATGACTAATTGAATTCCTAGCATTTCACATACAAATGTACATGTACGCCCGTTCAATTGCGCAACACAATTATTGCTTAGCTACAGTGGAACCTCTCTCTAAGGAAACCCCTGAAATGAGGACACCTCTCTCTATATCTTTCTTCTCCCCACTGTCACTCAATCTGTAATATCTTTGGAGGGGTTCCACGTTCTTTATGAACTTACAACGTGAGGACTGGGCTTCTCCCAGACTTCAGCGCTCCGAATCATCACGTGACGGACTTTGTTTCCCTCGGCAACGTCGTTGGGAGTCGTGTCCAGCCTCCAAGACACTTTACCCGGGGAGGGAAGGTAGGAACTGAGGGACGCCATCTTTTCTCTCCTTTTCCAGCCTCCACCGGCTTCTTAGACGGAAGAATAAGATACTGTAATCCCTATTCGCGTCCGATTCTTCCAATAATGGTCGTATTTCCCTTTCAGAAACTTCTTGGCCGCGAAAAAACAGTTGTTGAAATTTTATTTATTCTCCATTTAGAGCCCAACCGAGGGGCGTGACCAAACGTATCACTACTAGACACGTGACTCTAAATTACGGAGAGACTCCGGACAACGATCTAGAGTATACGGTTCCTCGCTCACCTTTCGACCTCTTGCCTGATTCCACCGCCCATCAGCTGTTTTATTCGAACTTACGCCCACCAAAACGTGCAGTGCATCTGCAAAAATATAGCTGAAGAGGGTGGAACACAGAGAGAAAGCGAGTTAGCAATGGATCTATCAGACTACGGTGTAAGATGTTTCTCACGTTACGTACTCCTGAAACGAGCTTTTTTCTCGACTTTTGCAGGGGTATCCGGCGCTTGTGGTTGCACTGCTAGCCGCTGTGGGCGTATCTCTAGCCGTTAGCTACCTCTCCAAGAAAGGAAGCGATGAAAAATCCAAAGGTTTGCCCTTTCTTTGCATCCATAAGTTATACCTCCCCTCTCCCTCCCCCTCTCCCTTTCATTTGTCTTTCTCTCTCCTATCGTGCTCTCTCTCTCTCTCACTCTCAGGTCCACCTGCACCAAAACCTAAAAAGGGTCCAGTTGCGCTCGTGCCGCAAAAGAAAGCTGCCTACAAGATGACCGAGAAGGAGGTATATTACTATTATACGTACAGTGGAAGGAACCCCTATAATCAGGACGCCAATTGAAATGGGGGAGATGTCCTTTGGAATGTTTCTTGAGGAAAGCTGGGAGGTATCCTTGTTTCAGATGGTTCTACTACTATAATCAGATGTTCTAATTAATGCACATCACTTGTTGCACTCTCAAATACTCTCAGATTATTAGTCACGGCACGCGAAGGTTCACCTTTGAACTTCCGTCACCTCAACACGTCCTCGGACTGCCTGTTGGTAAGAAGGATCGTTCGATGATATGTGTGCATTTTAGGGTCATAATATTTGCTACTTTGTTGTGACGTTGATAATGCATACACAAGTGTAGATGGAAATTTCTGTGATTTTATCATTCAGTGCTCCCTACTTTTTATCTTGTGTGCAAATGTTTAGACAAAGAAACATGGGGAGGTTTTTTAAAGGAAATGTGGCAGTGTGTAATGGCTAAATTTAGAAACTGTTGCTTAAAATGGAAACTTAATTGCATTCTTGCACTGGGCCCTATAGTTTAGTTCTATCTTTAGTAACATTTCTAAATTTAGCCCTTATGTGCTTTCCCTGTAAGGTTTTGCCTTCTCTCCCCCTCTTTCTGTCCCAGGTAATCACATGTACCTGAGTGCCACAATAGATGGTAAGTTGGTATCTCGCCCGTACACTCCGGTCACCTCCGACGACGAACAAGGATACTTTCAACTTATCATCAAAGTCAGTGTAATGATACAGTGGAACCCCTCTAATCCAGACACCAGTGGGACAGAAGAAAATGTCCATATTAGTGAGCTGTCCTCATTTCAGGGGTTGAATTGCATGCAAGAAATATTCTTGGGGGGAAAAAAGGTGTCCTTATTAGAGAGGTGTCCTTATTTCAGGGGTGTCCTTAGAGATGAGTTCCACTGTATATAAAAAAATCCCTGAAGTTGAGCATCTTTGTGTTAAGTGACTATTCATGCTGTTCACAGGTCTATTTTGCTAATGTCCACCCGAAATTTCCAGAAGGTGGGAAAATGTCTCAGTATCTTGACTCACTCAAGGTATATGCTTAGTAACAACATTTTTTAAAATGCACTTTCTCAAGGCGGGCGAATTGCTTGTAAAAAAAGTGATCTCAAATCCTGGTCCCTCGATACAATTGTCCTAGCCTACAAAATTTGCTAATAAAACTTGTATGGATGGCTAAAAATTTTTCTTCTTCGAAATGGTTTCATGTTCTTCGTTCAACGGTGTTGTTTTGTGCACATGCAGGTTGGTGATACTATAGACATTACTGGTCCGGCCGGTAAGGTGATCTATTTGGGGCGTGGCTACATCCGCGTCAAGTATCCAGGGAAACCGGAGCAGATAAGATTTGCGACTGATATCGGACTAATCGCTGGAGGAACAGGTGTGAGATACTCAAGAGAGAGATGAAGGGAGAGAGATGGGATGAATGCTAAAGAGTATTACGTACACCATTAGTTGGAAACATTTGTTCATTTGCTCACAGTTTCAAATCTGGGTATAGTGATTTTTTGAGCTGTTTTTTGGAGGGGAAAATGTGCAAGAAATTTGGGTGGATAAACTTATTGTTTCACGTTTTCTCGTTTTCTTTAATTCCTGCACTCACACACACACACACACACACACACACACACACTCACGCACGCACACACACACGCACACACACACACACACAGGCATCACTCCAATGCTCCAGATCATAAAGGCCATCCTCAAGGATCCGTCTGACACCACACGAGTCTCCCTCCTCTTTGCCAACCAGTTGGAGAACGACATCCTTGTGAGGGAGGAGCTGGAGGAGATGGCGGAGAAACACGACCAGTTCTCTCTTTGGTACACTCTGGACAGACCACCCGAGAGTGAGGTTTCTTGAAGGAAATATGTGACATTACATAAGGGCTAAATTTATATATGTTACTAAAGATAGAACTAAGCTATAGAGCCTAGATTGCAAATTTCTAAATTTGACCACAGTCCCTTTAACAATTGAACCCCTCTAATCCAGACACCAGAAAGGTCCATATTAGTGAGATGTCCTTATTTCAGGAATTAAATCATACTGTAATTACACAAAATATTTGTTGTTTTCATACCTCTTTATTTCCAGCTCCAACGTTCAATCAATTGCCTCACTTCACCGTTTCCTCCCTCCCTCTCTTCCCCTCTCTCCTTCTTCCTGATATATACCATCTCCATTATCTCAGATTGGTCATATGGTTCAGGGTTTGTTAGTGGGGAAATGATTTCCACCCACCTCCCTCCTCCTGGACCGACCTCTCAGATCCTCATGTGTGGACCTCCACCCATGATCAAGTTTGCCTGTCTCCCCAACATAGAGAAACTGGGCTTTAGTGAAGACATGTATGTCCCCTTCTAAGACAAAGGGGCTGTTTTCTGCATATAATTATTATAATGCTATTTTCGGGTATAATTAGTGCTGGCACACGTATGCACTTCTGCTGAGCTGCGATATAAACACCAATATTCTATTGTAGGATGGGCTGCTGATAACAATTTAGGCCGACCACTTTAATTAATCGTGAATTTGCCCAACTGGCATAATGACTGGTGATAAATGTCGGCATTACGTTATAATTAGTCTGTTACCACCCAGCCAAGGGCACCCACTGAGCAGTCAAAACACATGAATTTCTGGACTGAATATCAGGATTAGCCGAGCATAGCAATAACTCTAATATGTTTGCACCTGAGTGACAATTTCTTACCTGCATAGGCGTGCTATTATAGGTAGCAAACCAGAGGCTGCACCAATTCTTCCATTTGAATGCATAAACATGCTACTAGTATGTAGGTGGCAAACACATGCACAAGCTGGTTTCCCATAGTACCCACTGTTCTCTCCTGGACTGGGTGGGTGCTGTAAACCTGTGTTGTGCAGACTATTGTGACACTGTCTCACCACCACACCCTCTTTTTTTAGCACATCATGGGGCTAAGTCACACATCATGGATATTAACAGACTACAATACACATCCGTCAGTGAATACTCTTGACATTATATAGAGATAGTAGAGCTCTATTGTACATGCTCTTGGGTGTTACACGTAAGGTTAGACGCGCTCAGACCAAAATCACACCCCAGGTCGCGGAAGTCGCTGAAATACAAACTGCCTACCAAGGGCTCCGAGGATCACTAAATCACGTAGTTTCCCAAGGCGACGCGTCTAACCGGCTTAGACTACAGCGCAAGTCCGTCCCGCTGCAGTGTCCTTTGTAGGCGTTGCTGCCCTTCTGGATCGCGCCGGCCGGCCGTTTGTACGCGTTTTTCCCTGTACGCTTTTTCTAGCGTCTTCCTAGCTCTCTAGTAGTCATGCGCTGCTAGAAGAGCCTGTTCCTGGTTTATTCGTGGGAAGAACAGCTCCAGAAGCTCGGTTCGCCGTCCGCACGCGTGGCGTCTTTTCGAATTGAAGGCGTGGTTGCCGGGGCTACGAATAGTTACCGCGGAAGAGGTAACTACTTACCGCTAAACTCGCAATATCTGATTGGTCAATTGCGTGTTACCGTTATTATAGTTAGTTACCGCGGAAGAGGAAATTAATTACCGCTAAACTCGCAATCTGATTGGTCAATTGCGTGTTACCGCAGTCTAAGTTTATACTTACATAACACGTCTCTATTGCGGGGTATCTAGTTTATACACACGCGCAAATCGCAATATACGCAGATCGAGACATGCCCCTTTTTGCGTAGGACTAGACTACATGAAATGGCTGCTCAACAACGACGCAAGCCCGTCGGTGGGTATGACTGCGAATTCGTGACTCCACCACCCGACGCTTTTCAAACAGAGTGTCCCATTTGCTTGCAAATCTTGAGAGAGCCGTGCGTCATCAGTTGTCCTTGTGGACGGAAGATATGTTGCGAGTGCTTGGAGCAAATCAAGGAAGACGACAAGCCGTGTCCGCTGTGTAACAAAACAGATTTTACCTACATCCGTGACTACGGACTGGAGAGATATCTGAAACAACAGGAGGTGTGGTGCTCACACAAGAAGGACGGCTGTAAATGGAGGGGGAAACTTGGAGAATACGAACAGCACTTGAATGTAAATCCGTCTTCAGATAACCAGCTGACTGGGTGTCAGTTTGTAGCGGTAGAGTGTGTGCATGGGTGTGGGAAGTGGTTCCAGCGTCACCACATCGCTTTCCACCAAAAGGGGGCGTGTCTCGAGCGACCTTACTCCTGTGAATACTGCCACGAATATGAATCCACCTTTTGAAGATGTCACTATCCTCATTGTGTCAAGTATCCAGTTACCTGCCCTAACAAATGTCAAGACACTCCCTTTGAACGGAAGAATGTGAAAAACACGTCAAAGATGAATGTCCCCTCACGGAAATCGACTGCCCACTCCACTATACTGGTTGTGAGGTGAGACTGCCTCGCAAAGACATGCCTGAGCACATGGCAGACACTGTCACACATCTGACACTGCTGGCTACCATTACCCAGAGCCTCTTCAGAGAGAATCATGAGCTGCGACAGAGTACTGAGGACCTCAAGAAAGAGAATCATGAACTGCGAAAACACCTCGCAGAGAAACAGAAAGCTACAGAGAAAGAAGTTGAAATTCTCAGAGAAGAAACGCACAAAATGAAGCTCATGGTGGGAGGATTCCCTATTGATTTCCACGTGAAGTGTGACAAAGACAAGGAAAAAATACATTTACCTTCCTTTTACACCCACTCATCTGGCTATCAAATGCGCATTATCTTTCATCCGAATGGGTACGGGGTTGGTAAAGGAACTCATGTATCATTATACGCACAGCTAATGCGAGGTCAATACGACGACCACCTGAAATGGCCGTTCAGAGGAGAGATAACGGTCCAGATAGCCAACCAGGCTGGAGACCGCAGCCACACCATCCCCTACAATGAAAAGACACCAGATGACGTCGCTGGTAGAGTGACTGACAAGGAGAGTGATAAAGGATGGGGGTTTCATCAGTTCCTTGCTCACACTGATCTGGAGTACAATGCTGCAAAGAAAACCCAATACTTGAAAGACGGCATCATCATAGTCAGAGTTGTTAAAGTTATAATCACCCAATGAGTTATTAAATTTTTGGCTTTTCTCTACATTTAATTGCACACACTATTATGCTGTATTATTGGCAAGCGGGAGCGAGCCAACCTAGTCGTCGCAACAGCCGATTTTTCTATTAATTTATTAATTAATTTACTTATTTATTATTTATCGTTGGTATATATACGTCGTGTAAATGCGCATGCGCGGCTTTGTACGCGCGCTTCTTTTTATCCGACTATATACCAAATTTTTACACATTTTCACACACGGTGCCTCTCGATATGCGCCGATCGATCTATAATAGCCAGCGAGAGAACTCTCCTCTATTCGACGGCATGCGCTGCAACCTTCGGTGACTGACCGAGGCTGTACCTCTTCCCAATCTTCATGGTTCCAAGGTGCAACTTGCAAATACGCTAGGATTGCTCGTGCACATACTGCTGCATGCCAGCTGCCTGGTGGACCACGACTGGCGAGCTGAAAGCGTAAGGTAAGTACCGTTCTGCTCACCTGCTCACCGTTCTGCCAATGTACAATACGCATGTTGTAAATGATCTTGTTGCGTTTGCGCAGAAGCGGTCTTGTTGCGTTGCTCATGCGTCGAGGACTAGAGCAGGCCGTTTCCGTGGGAGGATCTCCCCTGTGATAGTAAAATTATACGAGAGGCTAGCTTCCTCTAGTAGTGCATAGCTAGTTTGAACTGACCAATCAGATTTGTCGGTACGAGGTTCCTGATTTCTCATAGTAAACCTCGTACGTTACAGAACTAACATGAAAACATGATAGAGAGCCTTGTTTTTTCATAGAGAACCTTATTTTTTTCCGACATAAATACATGATTTTTACATGTAGGAGAACATGATCTGTAACTGATAATATTAGTGGCTCTCTTGTATTAGAAGTGCATGATCGGATTGAAGTGTGCTGTGTTTATTTGTTGAAGGTGATTACAACGGACTGACATGAGTGGAAATTAAATGATGACGGCATAGATGAAACCAAAGTGTTTGTAGAGCTTCCAGTACCAGTAGGTGGTGTTTCAAAGTGAGAGTTGCTCGCAACAGCCCGAGTTGGTTGTGGTGTAGATTCTTTGGTAGTAGGAGGTGCTCTTTTTGCCCTTTTGGAGAGGCTAAGAGTGTCAGACACAGACTGCTCCTGTTGGTCTGATGTACGCTTGTATGAGCGAACACCCTCTACGCTGCGATGCCCAGTGCGCTCCATTATGAGTTGCTCGTCCATTCCTGCAGCATACAAGCGGGTGGCACTCGTTGCACGTAGTGAATGGTTTGTTCGAAACCCCGAAATCCCAGCAGATTTGCACATTGAGGAGACAACGTTTGACAAAGCATTGTGCCCAAGGGCTCACGAGAAAACCAAACTGTGTCGGTTGGTTTTTTCAGACACTGCAGGTAGAATGAGTTGCTCTTCGGATTTGGAGGGCAGCGACTTTTGTAGAGGGAGAAGAGCCTGACGAAGCAGCGAGAAGGGTCGGTCAGATTTGCGTGATGTTTGACTGTTTTGTGTCCGATGCGAAGTCCTCTCAGACCTCCTGGTCTGTTTCTTTGATCCATCCTCTGTGTATTCAAGGTACGGGCGCTCTCCAGTCCGCTCTACTAGAGAGATTTGGGAGGGATTGAATCGAAGCTCTCTATGTTCCTTTCCACTCCTCAGGGCAAAGTATAGGCCATTCATGAATACCATAGTGTTGATGAGAGCCTTGGAGTGTGGTCTCCAAGTAACCCCTTCTGCCATAAAACCTCCTCTTCTTCATCGGTGAGCGGCTCTGCTTGTTTCTTCTTGGATCCGATGCCAAGTTGTTGTAGACGCTTCATTTCGGCATCAAGAGTTGAACGGAACTCGGCAAAGAAGGGGTCCTTAAAGATGTCAAGCGATGGGTGGCCGTTTTGACGCAAGTGTCTGAGTAGTCCACTACACAGATGGTGGAGAGTTTGAGGTGGATAATCGGTTCCATCTTTTTTGCGAACCTCTAGAACAAATCTCGTAAGCCAGTATTGAAGCTGGGGAGGAGTAACAGCAGATAATGGCGGTATATAGGTGCTGTAGGTCGTTGCATGATAGTCACTCCACTCTCCTGCCACACTCCTGTGCAGTATCGAGTGTCTTCGGCAGTTTTTTTGGGAATAGAGTCGGAGCGTCGCTTCCGTATTTCCTCGTCGGTTACCCTAGCGGTGAACCGCGCTGCTGCTGGAGGGGGAGGGGGAGGGGCTGGTTCGGAAACGTCAAACCGCGGCGGATACGACTGCGAGTTCGTTACGCCACCGCCAGATGTGTTTCAGATCGAGTGCCCCATTTGTCTGCAAATCCCGAAAGAGCCGTGCCTCATCAGTTGTCCCTGCGGAAAGGAGTTTTTCCGCGAATGCATCGAGCGAATAAAGGAAGACAACAAGCCGTGTCCGCTGTCTGATTTCACGTTCTTACGTCACCACGGGTCAGAAAGATATCTAAAGGCACAAGAGATGTGGTGCTCACACAAGAAGGACGGCTGTGAATGGAGGGGACAACTTGGAGAATACGAACAGCACTTGAATGAAGATCCATCTCAAGAGAACCAGCTGACTGGGTGTCAGTTTGTAGCTGTAGAGTGTGGGAATGGGTGTGGGGATGGGTGTGGGGATGGGTGTGGGGAGTGGTTCCAGCGTCACCACATTCCTTCCCACAAAAAGGGGGCGTGTCCCAAGCGCTGGTACTCCTGTGAATACTGCCACGAATATGAATCCAATTTTGAAGGTGTTACTAAAAATCATTATCCTCAGTGTGTCAAGTATCCTGTTGCCTGCCCTAACAAATGTCGAGACGCTCCCTTTGAACGGCAGAATGTGAAAAACCACGTGAAAGATGAATGTTCCCTCACGGAAGTCGACTGCCCACTCCACTACGCTGGTTGTGAGGCCGAGACTGCCTCGCAAAGACATGCCTGAGCACATGACAGACACTGTCACACATCTGACACTGCTGGCTACCGTTACACACAGCCTCCTGAAAGAGAATCAGGAACTGCGAAAACACAGTAAGTTGCTGAAAGACAAACAGAATGCTACAGAGAAAGAAGTTGAAATTCTCAAAGAAATACTCATGGTGGGAGTATTCCCTGTTGATTTTCACGTGAACTATGACAAGGACAAGGAAATAATTTATTTACCTTCCTTTTACATCCACTCATCTGGTTACCAAATGCGCATTAAATTTTATCCGAATGGATGTGGAGATGGTAAAGGAACTCATGTATCATTATTCACACAGCTAATGCGTGGTTCATACGAAGACCACTTGAAATGGCCGTTCAGAGGAGAGATAACGGTCCAGATAGTCAACCAGGCTGGAGACCACAGCCACGTCGAGAAGACCATCCCATACAATGATAAGACACCAGATACCTGTGTTGGTAGAGTGACTGACAAGGAGAGTGCTGATGGATGGGGGTTTCATCTGTTCCTAGCTCACACTGATCTGGAGTACAATGCTGCAAAGAAAACTCAATACTTCCTAGTCAGAGTTGTTAAAGTTATAATCACCCGATGAGTTGTTTAATTTTAGGCTTTTCTCTGCATAGATGACTATAATTGCACATACTATATAATATACCGCCAATATTGTGGTTGGCTTATGGATCAATGGGTGCACTGTGTATAGCAAAAGCGCTATTATTATTGTTCAACTTCCATTAATTCTTACAAAAATACCACACACTCAGTTAAAACTCTTTACTGTAATAAAGCACAGGGAAGTAAGAGTCACATGACATGATGTAATGGTCACATGACTAGAGGTCACTGCTGCTCGTCATCCTCATCGTCTAGAAATGCCCTTGGAGAAGGGTTCCACTGTACACTCAGAGACACTTCTTGATTTCAAGTTTTGTTTTCAGCTCAAACATTAGTTCAATAAAATATTAGCTAATTATGCTTCCCCTCACTTTACTCTCATCTTCCTCTCTCTCTCCTTCTTCCCTGATACTATCTCTATTATCACAGATTGGTCCTACAGTTCAGGGTTTGTTAGTGGAGAAATGATATCTCCACCCACCTCCCTCCTCCTGGACCGACCTCTCAGATCCTCATGTGTGGACCTCCACCCATGATCAAGTTTGCCTGTCTCCCCAACCTAGAGAAACTGGGCTTTAGTGAAGACATGAAAAAACATGTTTATAGCATACTAGCTCAGAGGAAAAGAAAGAACCTCCCCCACCCAAGCACACAAAACACAGACAATAACATACCCAAGCGTACAAAAACACAGACAATAACATATAAACAGAAAGAAAGAGGCAGGACCCTGGGTGCCCAGCCTTGAGAACCGGGGCGGTAGGTTAAAGAGTCTTTTATGGGCCCAACTCTCCCTACACACCCAGTGTCCCAACCTCCCTTACACATAGTTATAAAATAAATAGATAGAAATCATGTACAAAAAACGACAGCTACAGGATAAAAACAACAGCCGGTAGAAAAATAGAAAGCCTCAAAGGACCAATAAACTCATAGAAAAATATAAAAACTCTGAAACTCACGCAGCACGACGACACGACGGAGACATAAAAAACGTGCGATTATTCTAAATAACGCACAGCATATACACGTGTAAGAAAAATAGAAAAAATAGAACTCCTAAAATAAGATTAATAGTTCTGTCGATTACTTTAAATAACGCACAGCATATACACGTGTAAGAAAAATATAAATAATATAGTAGAAATGGTAGAAATAGAAATGTTAAAAATAGATTATTCAAAATAAATATGTGACTATAAATATACATTCTATCTATGCGACACATGGCGACTGAGGAATCTATCCATTGCTGGGCAGACATATACCATCCTCCACATGTTTGCGTATGCCGTAGCTATATTTAATTTGTGCGTGCTTTTTAGCAAACTTATAAAAGGACCTGCACAAATCAGAGTATCTGTATCCTTGATGAATCAGTCGCTCCGTTAGTTTGAAATGTCTCAACGTAAAATCCGAGTAATCACTACATATTCTACCTATACATGTATGTCCCCATCTAACACAAAGGGCTGTTAATGCCAATTATGTGCTACCGCGCGCATCCATTTTTGTATTAGGCACCAACACGGTAATTTTTGTAGGATGAGGTGCTGACTGCAACTTTGACAAAACGAAAGTAATTTCCTAAAAATAGTGAGGACATACAAGTTCTCACCACCACACCCTTATTGTAGAAAACACGATTTTGAGATTTCACGTAATAATGAGCGTGTAGTGAGCAATCTTTGTACGGATGGCACAGAGAGTTGGTCCACCACCCAGTTAAAACTCTTTACTGCATGATGTGATAATAAAGCACAGGGAAGTAAGTCACATGGTGGTCACATGACCAGAGGTCACTGCTGCTCGTCATCATTTTTTTCCATTTACTGGTACAATTATGGAAGAACACACATGCACCTTTTGCTATATACCTACACGGTGAAAATCGGCTACTGATCTTTATGGTTTGTCATCCTAGCTAACATTACATATGCTGACCTCCGCGAGGCCGTTAGCGTACAGCTTTCCTTTTGTGAAGCAAGACAGAGCTACCTGTCGCCGTTACATGCGTACCGTATATGGTGAGCAGAGCCTCTCTCTGTTCAGGAGTCTCACGATGACGAAGAGCATCTTCTCTGGACTGATCCATGATTGCGAGAGTACGGGGCTACACACACCCACGACCACTGCCCGCACGACATTAGCGCGTAATCCTGGAGCATGCGCAGTTGGACGACGTACGGTCGTAGAAAAATCCGCTCGATGGAACGACTAGGTTGGTTCGCTCCCGCTCGCCAATTTATTGGCGAGCGGGAGCGACCCAACTTGGGATTTGCCCGGGCTGTATAACGTGCCGTAAGCGCACACAGCTTTCCTTTCGTGAAGCAAGACAGATCTACCTGTCGCCGTTATATGCGTATTGTACATTGGCAGAACGGTGAGCAGGTGAGCAGAACGGTACTTACCTTACGCTTTCAAGTCGTCAGTCGTGGTCCACCAGGCAGCTGGCATGCAGCAGTACGTGCACGAGCAATCCTAGGCGTATTTGCAAGTTGCACCTTGGAACCATGAAGATTGGGAAGAGGTACAGCCTTGGTCAGTCACCGAAGGTTGCAGCGCATGCCGTCGAATGGAGGAGAGTTCTCTAGCTGGCTAGATCGTCGATCGTCGAGGCACCGTGTGTGAAAATGCGTAAAAATTTAGGAGCGCGTACAAAGCCGCGCATGCGCACTTACACGACGTACGAAAGACTATTAATATACAGAAAAGAAAATTCCGCCGAACGAACGACTAGGTTGGCTCGCTCCCGCTCGCCATTTATCCCCTAAACTTGAAAGAACGTCATGGTCAAAGCTTTGTCATAATACGACGGACGATGGAGCTCAATTATTACAGCAGCGACAGCTCAGACCTTTCACTTGCAGAGAAATTCAGAGGTGGCTACGATTGTGAGTTTACCGAGCCTGTGCCTGACAAAATACAAACCAATTGCCCGATTTGTCTTCTTATTTTGAAAGAGCCGTGCCTAATCAGTTGTCCCTGTGGGCGGAAGTTTTGTCGTGAGTGCATTGAACGAATAAAAGAAGACAACAAGCCATGTCCGCTGTGTAACCTGTCTGATTTTACTTATATGCGAGACCACGGGCATGAGAGAATTTTGAAAGATCTTGAAGTGTGGTGTGTACACAAAGCCGAGCACACAGCTGATAACTGTCAGTGGAGAGGGAAACTTGAAGAATACGAACGGCACCTGAATAGCAATCCGTCTCAAGCGAACAGATGACTGGGTGTCAGTTTGTGGATGAGTAGAGTGTGAGCATGGTGTGGGGAGTGGTTCCAGCGTCGCAACATCGCTTCCACCAAAAGGTGGGCGTGTCCAAGCGACCTACTCTGTTGAACACTGCAACGAATATGAATCACTTTTGATGTAGATGTTGTACTAAAAAGCAGTATACTCAGTGTGTCAAGTATCAGTACCTGCACTAAACAAATGTCGAGACACTCCCTTTGTTGAAAAGTACAAATCGCTGAATGAAACACCACGTGAAGACGAAGTCCCTGACGGCTTTTTTGAATCGACTGCCCACTTCACTACGCTGAGTTGTGAGTGTGACGGACTGCCTCGCCAAAGGCATGCCTGAGCACATGGCAGACACTGTCACACATCTGACACTGCCATGCGCTACCGTACACAGAGCCGCCTGAAAGAAAATCAGAACAAGCTACGTCAGACCACTGAGGACTCGATAGATTAGAGAATCCAAACTGCAAAAACACGCGAAAAGACACAAAAAGCTACAGAGAAGAAGTAGAGAAAAGAGAGAGAGAGAAGCAGTGGAAATTAAGCCATGAGTCAGGGGTAGGAGCTAGCTAGCAGAGGTCTAGTTAGCATGTGAGTGGTAGTGCAGTCAAAGAGGTAGAGCCGAGAACGGCAGATAGAGGAAAAGATGGGCTAGAGGAAGAAAGATAGAGACCTAGTAGGAGTAGGGAAGGTGGTCAGGAGGGGAAAAGGAGCGCAAATAGCCCAGAGGAGAGGGAAAATAGTTAGTTAGGGGATAGGTGGCGTAGGGGAAGCAGGAGGGTAGAGAGATAGAGGTAGAAGAGGTAGAGAGAGCATAAGTTTGGGGAGGAAGTTAGAGTTGGAAGAAGTAGGGAAGGAAAGAGTAGTAGAAGAGAGAGGTAGAGAGAGAGAGAAGAGAGCAGAGGAAGTAAGAGAGTAGAGAGTAGTTTTAGAGAGTTAGAGAGTAGCAGTAGTTTGAAGAAGAGAAGAAAAGAAGCAGGGAGCAGAGAGAGAGGAGAGAGAAGAGAGTTGAGTTGAAAGAGAGAGTAGATAGAGGAGAGAGTCAGAGTAGAACGAGAGAGTAGAGAGTTGAAATTCTCAGAGAAGAAACACACCAAATGAAGCTCATGGTGGGAGTATTATTCCCTATTGATTTCCACGTGGAATATAAAA